CCGAACGGAGCCGAGTCCCGCCGAGCCGAGTCCAGTCGAGCCGAGTTCAGCCGAGCGGAGCCGAGTCTAGCCGAGCCGAGCCGAGCCGAGACCAGCCGAGCCGAGCCAAGTCCAGACGAGCCGAGCCGAGACCAGCTGAACCGAGCGAAACCGAGTCCAGCCGAGCCGAGCCCAGTGAAGCCGAGTCCAGCCGAGCCAAGCCCGGACGAGCCAAGCCGAGTCCGGTCGAGCCGAGTTCAGCCGAACGGAGCCGAGTCCCGCCGAGCCGAGTCCAGTCGAGCCGAGTTCAGCCGAGCGGAGCCGAGTCTAGCCGAGCCGAGCCGAGCCGAGACCAGCCGAGCCGAGCCAAGTCCAGACGAGCCGAGCCGAGACCAGCTGAACCGAGCGACACCGAGTCCAGCCGAGCCGAGCCCAGCGAAGCCGAGTCCAGCCGAGCCAAGCCCGGACGAGCCAAGCCGAGTCCGGTCGAGCCGAGTTCAGCCGAACGGAGCCGAGTCCCGCCGAGCCGAGTCCAGTCGAGCCGAGTTCAGCCGAGCGGAGCCGAGTCTAGCCGAGCCGAGACCAGCCGAGACCAGCCGAGCCGAGCCAAGTCCAGACGAGCCGAGCCGAGACCAGCTGAACCGAGCGAAACCGAGTCCAGCCGAGCCGAGCCCAGCGAAGCCGAGTCCAGCCGAGCCAAGCCCGGACGAGCCAAGCCGAGTCCGGTCGAGCCGAGTTCAGCCGAACGGAGCCGAGTCCCGCCGAGCCGAGTCCAGTCGAGCCGAGTTCAGCCGAGCGGAGCCGAGTCTAGCCGAGCCGAGACCAGCCGAGACCAGCCGAGCCGAGCCAAGTCCAGACGAGCCGAGCCGAGACCAGCTGAACCGAGCGAAACCGAGTCCAGCCGAGCCGAGCCCAGCGAAGCCGAGTCCAGCCGAGCCAAGCCCGGACGAGCCAAGCCGAGTCCGGTCGAGCCGAGTTCAGCCGAACGGAGCCGAGTCCCGCCGAGCCGAGTCCAGTCGAGCCGAGTTCAGCCGAGCGGAGCCGAGCCGAGCCGAGCCGAGACCAGCCGAGCCGAGCCGAGTCCAGCCCAGCGGAGCCGAGTCTAGCCGAGCCGAGCCGAGACAAGCTGAGACGAGTCCAGCCGAGCCGAGCCCAGCCCAGCGGAGCCGAGTCTAGCCGAGCCGAGCCGAGACCAGCCGAGCCGAGTTCAGCCGAGCGGAGCCGAGTCTAGCCGAGCTGAGCCGAGACCAGCCGAGCCGAGTCCAGCCCAGCAGAGCCGAGCGAAACCGAGTCCAGCCGAGCCGAGCCCAGCCCGGCCCAGCAGAGCCGAGTCCAGCCCAGCAGAGCCGAGCGAAGTCGAGTCCAGCCGAGCCGAGCCCAGCGAAGCCGAGTCCAGCCGAGCCAAACCCAGACAAGCCAAGCCGAGTCCGGTCGAGCCGAGTTCAGCCGAACGGAGCCGAGCCGAGTCCAGTCGAGCCGAGTCCAGCCCAGCGAAGCCGAGTCTAGCCGAGCTGAGCCGAGACCAGCCGAGCCGAGCCAAGTCCAGCCGAGCCGAGTCCAGCCCAGCGAAGCCGAGTCTAGCCGAGCCGAGCCGAGACCAGCCGAGCCGAGTTCAGCCGAGCGGAGCCGAGTCTAGCCGAGCTGAGCCGAGACCAGCCGAGCCAAGTCCCGCCCAGCAGAGCCGAGCGAAGTCGAGTCCAGCCGAGCCGAGCCCAGCCCGGCCCAGCAGAGCCGAGTCCAGCCCAGCAGAGCCGAGCGAAGTCGAGTCCAGCCGAGCCGAGCCGGGCCTGCGGCGGTTGCTGAGCGGGGGGCGGCTGCGGGCGAGGCCGGGCGCTGCTCGGGGGCTGGCGGGCGGGACCGGGCTGCCCAGCGCGGGGTTTACACCCCCGCGTCTGCCAGCGGGCACAGCCCTGCCGCTGGTTTGGGGGAACCCCCCGCGACGGGCACGTTCGTGCCTTGAGCCGGTCGGGTGGTTCAGATCGCGACCGAGCCCTGGCTGTGGGCGCCGGGCCGCAGACTGTGGCCTCCGGGGACGGGGAATGGCCCCTGCGGTGCCCCTGAGGAGAGGTGCTCCGCGGGGTGCGGGGGGTTCTCCTGGCCCGGCCAGAGATGCCTCCGTGAGGCCGCCTGTGAAGAGCCTCCCGCCAGCACACCCCAGGCGGGGACGGGACGGCTTGCCGGTGACCTTTGTGATGAAGGGGGACCCCGCTTCAGAGAACCCCGCGCTGCTCACTCGGCAGCCCATCGCCACGTCGTTTGCGCAGCAGGACCCTGGGCAAGTCCCTGGGAACGGCGGGGGGACTGGCCCCAGCTGCAGATGGGCAGGGTGGACATAGCCTGACGTGACATGACGTGGCACGAAGTGCCCCGTGTGCCTCAGCTCTTGCAACTCCTGTCCAGCCCCGGTGCGAGCGTGGGAGGGGGCAGAGGGGCAGGATGTGCTGGTGGCGGGTGCTGGAGGTGGCCGGGGCTGTGCTGCAGCTGTGGAGAGGCTCCAGGAGACATCAGGCCTGCCGCAAGGGAGGCCGGGGGTCAATCGTCAGCCACTACAATACCTCCTTTTCTTCCCTTTCTGCCCCACAGAGCTCCCTGCTGCACCTCGGATCTGGGTCACCCGGGGCTGCCACTTCCCTCTGCTCCAGCTCCCCACGGCCACGCGCTGCTCTGCTGCTGCTGCTGCACTTTAGAGGCAGCTGCATTTGGGGGCTTGGAGTGCTTTGGGTTCCAGCGCAAGCCCAAAGCATCAGAGGAGTTGGCCTTCACCTTGTGACGAGTCTTGAAACTGCTTTCAAATGGGTTTGGGCTCTGCCCAGGGCTCTCAAGTCAATGTTAACTCTGATGCCTAATGACAGTCCCTTGGCAGTGGCCGAGCCCTGTCTGCCCATGCCGCTGGGCCCAGCTCGGCTTGCTAGGCTCGCCTCGGCTGGGCTGGACTGGGCTTCACTCTGCTCCACTCGACTCGGGTCTCTGGGCTCGGCTCGGCTCGGCATAGTGCCGGAGCCCCCGCCAAAGCGAAGCAGTCACGACGCTGACCACGCAGGAGGTCACCTCAGGCGGGTCCCAGGACACCCCTGCTAAGCTCAGCCCAACCCTCGTCGCTGGGCAGCAGCTCGCAGGACAAAGAAGCCCTGATGGGCACAGGGCAGAGACATGGCGATAACGACCTGCCCTTCCCGGGAAAGAGGAGTCAGCAACGGCCGTCCCAGGACCGATGTTCCCCACCCCACCTGTGCATCTGCACCCAACAGGGTGCACAGGGCACCTGGCTGCTGACCCCAAACACGCTCCCCCGCAGGAGCTCCTCAGACCCTGGTCATGGAACAACCCACCACCAGTTCTGGGTTCAGGAAGGAGCTTTTTCTCCTGGGCGGGTTGGTACAAGTCCCCGGGCATTTTTTTTTGCCTCCTGCTGCAGCACCGAGCACGGCGCGTTTGCCAGGGTTCCTCAGGGTCATTGCTGGCCAGCAATCCCCTGCTGTTGCAGCACCAGGCGTCCAGCGGTGCCCTCCCGCCCTCCACCTCTCATCCCTGTGCCAGGTTGGCAGGGGAACCTCAAGGACCTCCATGCATTAGGTCACCTGGGGGTCTTCTGCCCTGTGCAAACCACGGCCTGTTTGGAAAGGCTGCAGACGTGATGCCGTGTCAGGAAGGAGCCGCCACGGCCCGCCTGGCCGTGCATGCAATAAAAGCAGCGCGTTGGTCCCCACTGCCAGAGTTGCTGCTCCGTTCTCAGTCACCACACTCAGCTGAGGACCTGGCTTTTCACATCACCACTAATTGAAACATGAGTGAAATAGTAACTATACCTTCTCACAACTTCTCTATCTTTGAGTAATCAGGATGGTGTTTGTATGATAGCAATTAGGAAGACCATACCGGTACATAACCCTGATTTACATCTGTGTGGGATTTAGGTGCACTGCAACTTTTGTGGGGTTCCTCCTGGGTTTTTACTTGTGCTTTCCAAGAAAAATATCCAGCTCCACTTCAACCATGGTGTGAATCCAAAAGAGACTGATGAAAATCAGACCTCATCCCTCCGCCTGCCTGAAGAACCTCTGGCACAGAGCGCAGAAGAGGTGACTGTTGGCCCCAGAGGGTGAAAGGTTACGGTGCATGTGGTGTGCTGTGGCCACAGTGGTAAAGGCAGTCCCAAGGCTCGAGAGCTTGTGAAGATGCCCTGGCCCTCCAAGTTGACTGACATGAACACCGTGATGAATTAAAGCAACGATGGAGGTGCTGCAAGTATCCAAAATAAAAACAAGCCACCTTCTGACCAGCACTTGCCCTCCCCTCAGGGATACTCCAATAGCAGATTTCTGGAAGAGCAGCTGGATTTGCTCATTAAAATCAGTGGTTTTCTAGGCCAGGCTCACTCCCCATCCATTGTCTCCCTCTGCTGCTCATGACACTGGTGCTATTGGAGAGTTGCCATCCCTGATGGCAGCACTGGCACAGGACACTCTCTTTGGCCAGGGACAAGCAAGCTCCCGAGTCCCAGTCCCCTTCACAGAATCCCTTGTGCCAGCAATGCCGTCTTGTTTCTGGGACCTGGAGCTCACTCCATGAATTGCTGCTCTGTGTTACAGCCCTGCTGTGTCACTACTGATATCCTTTAACACGCTTGGACACACCTGGCCTCATGCTGCTGCTGGTAAACATCTGCAGCTTCTAGGATGGAGGCTCTGTGGTGTAGCTGTCCCTGGGGCTCATCCTCTGTAGAAATTGCTGTAGAACTTGTGGGCCTGTGTGTATCTGCCTTGTTTCTAGGCTGGACCTATAAATGGGAACTGCAACAACCATTTCATTGGACTGAACCAGGAGAAGCCCAGTGTCTGTTTGCACCAGACTCAGCTCTAGTGGGGAAGGAGAAATAACTTGGGGCCCAAGGCCAACTGAATTTGGTTACTTCCCTTACCAAAACCAGGGAAACTGGCTTTACTGGGGGAGATGTGTGGGATTCAAGGGGAAAACCTGAAGCTTTTTGCTACCACTTTGCTGAGCCATACGATGATGTCAACATGACGTGGATGGCTGCGGTCCAGAGCAGGCAGACTGCAGCTCCGTCATCAGAAGTACCCCACGGGGCTGCTGTGCCCCAGGTGGAGCTGGCTGCACAGCTGGCCCTGACTCTGCCCACACTTGGAGTAATGCAGGCAAACACGCTGTGACTTGTTAGCCTTATTCTGCAGGTTAATGATTCACCTGGCACAGTACAACACTTCCTGCTGTAGGCACTCAAACCTCCCCAGCAACTGTAGAAGCTCACAGTCAGATCCAGCATGCACAATGTTAAGCAAACCTGAAGCATGGGGGAATTTCTCCTCTTGTCAAGTTGCTTTGGTCCCTTCATCACATTTCCAAAGAGATGAAAATGCCAGCACACACTTTACCCTGGACACCAAAAGAAAGCAGCCTGTGCTTTCCAGAAATGCCCCAACCCTGCGACCTTTTCTGCTCTACAGCTTGCCAGCCCGCGTGATTTCTGCCAAGCCAGGACATATGCTGACAAGTGCGTCCCTGCTACTGAGCTGCTGCTCCTCATGCTGTTGGTCAAACCAGGTCCTGCTGACTCATCACTTACCCAACCTTCATCTGGAAGTGCAGTGATATATATCAGCCAGGTACCAGCTCCTGCTTGCGGAGCTGCTTCCTTCTAGATAGTTCCCACAATTTAAAGGCAGGTGTTCACCAGGGCAGTAAAACCAGTTGCTTCCCAAGTATACAATGGCACTGAGAATTGCCTTGGGACTAAGGGAAAGCAAAAAATGGTGGGAATTTCCTCCTAGCATCAGTATCTGACCTCTTACAAGGAACCCGTGTGTCTTGGGGATGTTTTGTGGTAGTTTTCATCTTTGTTTATCTTATATCTTTGGGCTTTCTGTATTTTCTTATAGGCATGGCTGTTGACTAGAGACCGTGGTTGATTATTGCTGGAAGCCACTCCAGAAGCCCAGCACACGGCCTTGCTGAGGGTGAGGAATATCTAGTCCCTGGTTCAAGGAGGGTCACCTAGATCAGGCTGCTGAGGGCCTTCAGGGTGCTCCTTGACCCTTGGAAAAGGCCCAGGGGAGGTTGCACTCCTGGCCGGGGACCCAGGGCAGGAGAGGACTTCTGTGAGCCACAGATCCTGCAGATGATCATGGAGCCTGATCTGACTCCCCATCATCTCCACAGCCAAGACTTGCACTGAAAATAGCTGATAGAGCCAGCCCAGCTTCTGCACTGAGAGTCTGGTAATTGCAAGAGAGAACATAATTCCCCCTTTTTAATTCTTTCTCCCATAAACCTATAGTAGAAAATATATTCTAGGGGGTTGGCCTGTTCTTTAAGGGGCTCCAGGTGCATGCTGCATCCTGACCCCAGTGCAGCTTCCCCAGGGCCTGTGCCTGGGCATGCAGGGCTGGTTCTGCAGGCAGGGCACGGCCTGCCTGCCCTTGCCCCGGGTGGGCTGAGCACCCATGGACACCAGTGCAGCCCTAGCCTGGAACATTGCTTTCCCCCTAGAGCCAGGACTTCAGGGCATGGGTGAGTTGAGCCCACCACCCTGGCCTCTGGTCCCAGGTGGCAGCCAGATGCCACGAAAGCAGCAGAAGAGTCTAACTCCCAGATAAGGTCCCACTCCTCCCCTCCTCCAGCCCAATGAAACCCAGCTCCAGCCCTGACCTGCTCAGTAGCCTACACCGGCCTCACTCCAGCATGGGATGTCTTTCTTGTACTGGGGAACGTGGCATGCAGAGCAGGGGGGAACAATCACTTCAACAGCCCATCCCTGGACCCCTGCTGACCCAGCCCAGGACCCGCTGGCCACCCTCACGGCATGGGACCGTGGCTGCCGGCATCTCAGCCAGCGGAGCCCTGAGCGCTGTGGCAGCACAGGCAGAGCGAGCCCTTGGCATCTCAGTCCCGCGCCAGCCTTGCCCGCGGCCTTGAGCCACGTCAGCGGGGCCGGGGGCAGGGCTGCATGGTGCTGCCCATCGGGGCGGGCAGCCCACGGCTCAGCCCCACACCCTGGCTGGCCAGATCCTCAGCCCAGCAGCCAGGAGCAGTCACCTGGTTATACAGCTCTGCGGTGTGGGGCCAGCCGTGCCCCCTCACTGGCTGCGGGGGAGGCTGAAGGCCAGAGCACCAGGCGTCCCTCCTTATCCCCCGTTATCTTCCAGACAAACCCAAACTGGGTCCCGAGTCCCTGACACACTCACACACTTGGCAGCCAGGGCTGCATGGCTCTGCCCGCGTGGGGCCCCGCGGGGCGGCGAGCACAGCCCTGCCCTGGGTGCACGGGGGGTGCAGGGGAGAGGAGAGAGCGGTGGGCGCGGCAGAGCCCACAGCTCGCTGGTTCCCCGGGGGCTGCGGTATCCCCTAGCAGAGCCCTTCCCCAGCACCTCCATGCCGGCCGCCGTCCTGCTTGGTCAACGCAGCCTCCGGGGTGGAAATGTCCTTTCCACAGGACGGGGGCCACGCAAGCTTAGAGGCGGCCTCGCCAGGTGACACAGCAGCTGGGAGACCTTTGCGACACCTCAGGCGATGACACGGGTGGCACGCGGCAGCCATACCACAGCCGCAGAGTGGACTCTGCACTGTCTGTGGTGCTGCCCTCCGTCCACACTGGTCGGGAAATCCTGATAAGGTGAGATAAGGAACGCTGCCGGCCAACCCCCCCCCGCCCTGCGGCACTCCCGGGTGCACGGGGCTCTGCAAACCAGCCCCCCAGGCTGTGTCCACTAGCCCAGGGCTCCCCTGTCACTGGAGATGCTCAACACCCGACCACGCGTGGCCGTGGGCCGCGGGGCAGCTCCGGTCGGGAGTGGGCGTGGGCCGCGGGGCACCTCGGCCTGTGCTGGGCGCTGGCGGCAGGGGCGCGCAGGGCGCGGGCACCCGTGCACGCCCCCGGGGGTGCACCACGCGTGGGCGCGGACACCCCGCGCTCTCCCCGGGGGGGGGGGGGGCCGCGTGGGACGGGGTGCGCGCCCCCGGGGGTGAACGGGCGAGGGGTGCGCGGGTGGGGGTGTGTCCCCACGCGGGGGGGGTGTGTGTCCCCACGCGGGGGGTGTGTGTGTGTGTCCCCACGCGGGGCGGGGCCGCCCAATCAGCGCCGGCTCCGCCCCCCCCCCCCCCCGCCCGGTGCGTGGTGAAAGCCGGGCGCGGGCGGGCGCACGCGGCGCCGCGGGGATGTGGGCTCGCGCGGCGCTGGCGTGCGCGGCGCTGTGCGTGTGCGCGCGCGCCTGGCCCGGCGGCGCCGTGTGCGCGCGGGGGGCGGCGGGCGCGGGCGGCGCGCGCTACGTGGCCTTTCTGAGCGGCGGCGGCGGCGGCGGCGGCGGCGGCGGGTGGCTGGGGCCCGGGCCCGGGCCCGGCCCGGCCGCGCTGGTGGAGGGCGCCTGGGCCGGGCGCGGCCGCCTCCGCGCCTGCTGGGCCCGCCGCGACCCGCGCCTGGCCCGCGCCTTCCGCGCCGCCTGCGCCCGCCGCCCGCCCGCCGCCCCCGGGGCCGCGCTGCGCCGGGACCTGGCCGCGCTCTGGCGGCGCCGCGCCGCCTGCGCCGACCCCGCGCCGCCGGGAGGGCGCCGGCGCCGCCGGCGGGGCTGGACGCTGCCGGGCACGCTGTGGTGCGGGGCCGGCGACTCGGCGGGGGACGCCAGCGAGCTGGGTAGGAGGTGCCCGCCGTGCCCCCCCGGGAGCGCGGCGCCCGGCCCGGCCGTGCTCACCGGCGCTGCCCCGCAGGTCTCTTCCGCGGCCCTGACCGGTGCTGCCGGGAGCACGACCGGTGCTGGGCGCAGATCACGGCGCTTCAGTTCAACTACGGCATCCGCAACTACCGCCTGCACACCGTTTCCCACTGCGACTGCGACGCCCGGTGCGCGGGGGGTGGGCCCGACCGGCGGGGGGGGGGCCACGGCACCGGGGAGCCGCCGGGCCGCTCACCGCCCCGGCCTGCCCCCCCAGGTTCCGGCAGTGCCTGCTGGCGCTCAACGACACCATCTCCCACATCATCGGCGTCACCTTCTTTAACCTGCTGGAGGTGCCCTGCTTCGTGCTGGAGGAGAGCGAGGAGTGCGTGCAGTGGCACTGGTGGGGAGGGTGAGTGCCCCGGGGGTGCCCCCCTGCCCCGGCCCCCCGCTGCACCCCCGCGGCTGGGCGCCTCCCGTGCCGCGGCCCCGGGCACGGCCCGACTGCGGCAGGGGTGGTGTGCGGGGCCTCAGGGCGTGGGCTATCCCCCAGGTGCCAGCGTTACGGTGTAGTACCCCTGGCTCGGATGGTGCAGCAGAGTCAGTACCGCTACGGCCTGCCCGCGGAGACCGGCCGCCCTGCTGTGCAGCCCCCGAGCAAGAGAAAGAAGGCCTCTAGAGCAGGGTGCCGGCGGCTCCGGCAGGGACTGGAGCGAAATCCCAGGCTCTGTCAGGCACGGAGACCTGTGACAGCCCAGCAGGCGCAGGGCCCAGGTGCCTTGTCCCCTGTGTCTGCCGGGGGCAGGGCTGAACCCACAACCAGGCACTTGGCAGCGCAGCGGGGGCTGGAGCCCGGCCACCCGACAGCAATGACGGTGTTGGGACAGGACCTTGCTGGAGAAAGGCGAGTGCCGGGAGAAGCAGAGCAAAGACCAGGGGGCTCAGCAGACCCTGCCTGCACAGCCTGCCCCCAGGATGGCAGTGTTGGATCCAGCCCGGCTGCGGAACGGTGCGGAGCCACCCCAGTGCCTGCCAGAGGGGGTGGCAGGCCACGGGGTGAGTCGGTGCTGGGGGCAGAATGTGTCCCACAGCAGGAGTGTCCTGAGGCCTCAGCCCACTGGGGTGGTGTGGTGGGGGTACCCCTCACTGCCCTGCTGTCCTCAGGCCCAGGCAGGGTGTGCAGGTACTACAAGAACCTGGATAAGTGCAAGTACCAGATTGCACCCCGTGAGGTGAAGTACCAGCTGCACAACGTGGACACCCGGACGCTCTTCCACTGCAACTGCACTTGGAGGTGGGTGTCCGGGAGAAAAAGGCAGGGCTTTTCCCGTCATCGCAGTGTGCAGATAGTTTGGGGTCAGGCAAACTATAGTTTGGGGTGGGACCCAGCTGACTGGTGCCTTCATGTGCTTACAGGCTGGCCCGGTCCCTGCGCAGGGCGAGGAACCTGAGTGATGTGGAGGTGGCTGTCCTGGCTGACTGCATTGCCATGGACTGCTTTGTGCTGGAGCCGCCCACTGACTGCAGCCCCGGCGAGGGGTCACAGCACAAGTAAGCGCGGTGGGTTAAGGGAACGTGGTATGTATGCACGGGCAGGAAGGATGCCTGGGGGGGGGCTGGGTGCTGCCCTGCAGGCTTGCCATGAAGCTGGCAGTGCAAGCGTTAATCCCCTGCACTGCTGTGCCATGAGCAGGGCTGGGGATGTCAGTGCCTACTGTGTTACACTGATGCTCACAACTTTGCTTCTCTGGCAGCTGTATGGCAGCAACCCAGGCTGTGCTGGTACCTGCACAGCATCTCAAAAAGACCCTGAGGCACTGGGGTCCTCCCCATGTGACCTCCAAGGCCCAGTGTCCAGACTGGAAGACACAGGACAGCGGTGGCACCTTCTACACGCGATGCCTACAGCTGGCCTTGGAGCAGAAGCCAGATGCTTGGCACCACACAGTGCCCTGATGATGCCTGAGAAGCGCTGCCTTGTGTGGGGAAGACGTGGAGCTGCTTGATTTCTGATCCTTGAAGCAAAGGATGGCACCAAGTAGGGCTGCTGGCATGATTGCATGGAGCTGGAGGGCCACAGCTGGAATGGAGGCAGGCAGAGAGGGACTAACAAGCCTCTCAAGGAGCTGTGGCTGCTATTGATGAGCATCCAAGGAAGAGGAGGGCTCGGGCAAGGGGAAACCCACCAGCTTTGTGCCCTGGAGCAGGGGCAATGCTCTAGGCATTGGATTCCCCAGGCAGGGGGGATGGCAGGGCCCCCCACCCATGGATTTATGCCCTTTCAGCTGGGGGGGGCCTGAGCAGTGTGGGGTGATCCTGAACCCCTCCCCCAGACAGGGGGGGTGGGAGAGGGTACGAGGAGGGGTCTGTGCTGGTTCCCAGCCATGGAGCAAGGTGTGTGTGGTGGTGGGGGGCTCTGCCCTGGGGAGGGGTCAGTCCCTGTGCGTACCAAAAGATAAATAAAGGGTGATCTGAGCGTGGTACGTGGTGCTGGGGCTGAGCCTGCTGGCTCCTGCCCCCCTGCAGTAAGGACAGCGCCGCTGGGGTGGGCAGGATGATTTATTTTGCCACTTGTACTACATCCAAGGCTGAGGCACAGTGGTAGCAGCAGGGAAGGAGGAAGCTTTGATCTCAGGGTACCCTGGCCTCCTGTCCCACCTCAGCTGAGGTGAGCTCTGAACTCCTCCCATAGGACTGAAGGGTCTTGCCCTTTGAATTTCACAAGGGGCTCCCCCACCATGCAAGACCAGCCTTGCCAGCCCCATGTCACCTCCCAGCCCAACCAGGCTCAGGGTAGCAGCTCAGGCTGGGGGGGGAACAGTGGGAGGCCCCTACCTGCCAGGCACACCATAGGGGTAAGGAATCACTGCAATAAATTAAGGGACAGGGATCTCAGCAGGAAAGTGGCAGAAGGAAGCACACAGCAAGCACACTACCAGGAGGAGGGAGGGGGCCACCGCATCAGCGGCCCATGGCACAGCTATAGCTGCTTAGCTCCTGGGGGCTGCTCCCTTCCTTAGGGGAGGTGCTGCAGCCTGGGGGGCTGGTGGGGCTCATCCTCTGGCCGGGGTAGCCCTGGTCCGCACTCTCCCTTCGCCAGCCCAGGGCCTGGTCGATCATCTCCAGGCGGAGCGCAGGCAGCAGGCCCAGGTTCCTGGGGTCAGCCCTGGCCAGGGGGCTGTCAGCAGAGACACGCCAGGGGCCAACTTGCTCCTGCACAGTCTGGTAGAAGGAGCTGCCCTCGTGGCTGTCAGCTGTCCACCCCAGCTCCTTGGCTTTGGCTCCACAGTGCCCCAGCTCCTCCTGGGGCAGGTGGATGGTGGGGACGTCCCCAGGGAGCCCACAGCGGCTTTGGGGTGAGGGGCTACGGCTCATACCCCTGTCCCGGCTTGATGGCCGCAGGATGAGGCCCTGGAACTTGGCCAGGCTGGGGCTTCGGCTCCGGTGCCGTTTCATCTTGCCCGGACTGGGGCTACGGGATTTGGGGGCCAGCAGGACAAGCGTGCTGTCATCTTCCTCTTCTGAGCTGCTGCCCGAGCTGTCTGTGGGGCTGCTGCCCTCCTCTGACCTGGGCAGGGAGATCTGCGCCCCCATATTAGCGCTGCTGGCTGATCCTCAGAGAGGGCTGTGGGGCACCACAGCAGCTAGCCACCTCCAGCCAAGCACCCCTCCACCCATCCCCCCTGCCTCCCCTCAGCCCCTCACCCTTGCCTCTGGTCCAATGCTGACCTGGAAAGGCTCAGTCACACCAGCGATGCTGCTGGACATGTTGCTGTAGTATCCAAGGATGTACTCGCCCTTCCCCTTGGGCAGCGTCTCCTCTGGGAACAGCACCTGCAGCCCAGAGACAGCTGACAGGCACCAGGACTGAGCGCAGCTGCGCCCCCCCCTCCCCTCCCACCTCCAGCCCCAGCTGATGCACCTGCCCAAGGCTCAGCACAAAGCAATAAGGAGGTGTCCTCCTGCCCCATCAGGGGCACAAAGGGGCCACTGTCCCCCTGTGATGGGGCACGTGTGCCCAGCAAGACGGTAGGGCCAGCTCCAGCTTACCTGTGCACACAGCTGCTTCTCAAGGCAGCGCTCCCCATCATCACTCCTGGCCCAGACATAGGACACGTAGTCTTTAGGATGCCGAAAGCCCACCTGGGTGCATGTACACAGGAGAACACAGGTGAGCAGGGGAACATCAGCCCTGCCCAGCCTTAGCTCTCCTCTCACTCAGCCCCTTCTCCAGGGGAAACCAAGAGCTGCCCTGCACCCACCCAGCAGCAGCCTGGCCCCCAGGCTCTGGAACCCGTGGGGCCTGCAGAGCAGGAAAAAGAGGGAACTGCTGGATCTGAGCCTTCTGAAGCAGGGCCAAAGCCTGCTGCTAACACCAGGGCTTCCCACAGGATGAGAGAGTGCAGAGCACAGGTTCATGCCCTGCACCCACGTCCTCTGGTGGGGGGTACCTCAGAAGGGACTCCACAGTGCCGTGCAGTGCTTCCCACTCCCTCCAGCCCAAGCAGCCCCCAAGCCCATACCCGGTAGAGTCCTATCCAGTCCCAGGAGCTCCGGTGGAAGCCAGCAGCCATCTTGTACCTGACAACTGCTTGCTCAGGCCTGCTCCATTCATCAGCCACATAAATTTCAACTGGGGGCTTGTCTGCCTTGGAAGCAAACTGTCAGAGACATACACATGGTGAGCAAGGGCGTGCCAAAGAGAGCTGCCCCTGCTGCCCAGGGCACCCACCTAAGGCTAGGCGCTCATGCATACACCAACAGTGGCAAGACAGCTGAGCTTGCCAAGCAAAAATAAAATAAGCCCCACACACCCCATCACACGCTGCATACAGTAGCTGGACATCTCACCCCTACAGCTCCCACCTGCGTGCCCCGTGGCCCCGGGCAATGCTCACCTGCACTGCAAAGATGGCAGCTACCGGCTTGTGGTCGCTGACTGTGTACTCCATGTGGCTGCAGTAGCACAGCTGGCTCACCGACAGGATGCCCCGGCTGGGCTGGCACCCACCCACACCAAGCCCAGCACTGGGAGATTTGATCTTCCAGAGGATGCGGTCAGTCCAGGCAGGTTTTCGCTTCTTGGCACTGCAGGGCACAGAGGGGCATCTCTTGCCTGGCAGGGGGCAGTGGGCTCCACCCCAAACTGCCTCCCCCTGGCACTACGGCACGCTTGTCTTGGCATACAGCTCTCTGTGGCTGCAGGGACAGACCTGCGCTGGCACCAGCACGACAGTTGTGTCCCAGTCTGCCATCCCCAAGCCCAGCCCGTGCCTGTCCCAGCATGGCTCCCGCCATCCATCTGCACCGGCATCAGCCCCTGCCCTACCAGAACCAGCACCCACCCTGGCTCTGAGCCCCGACGCCACTCCTGCATCCCTCGGCCATATCACCCACCCCCAAGCCCAGCACATGCTCCAGCTCTGCTCTCCTACCTGCTGTCATACTTGTTGGTGCCCACATCGAACTTGAAGGTGGGTGGGAAGTTCAGGGGTCCCTCCTGAAAGCCGCTGAGGACAGGCCAGGTGCTCTTGGCAATGTTCAGCTGTGGGAAAGAGAGCGGGTCAGGGAGCACACCAGCACCCATGGCCAGACCCCTCTGCAAGCCCCCAAGACCTCCCCACCGCCAGCACAAGTCATCCCTGCCCCATTGCTGCCAACCCCACACAGCTCTCAGGGTTTGTCCATGCCATGAGAGCAGCAAGTCCAGAGACCCAATGCTCCCAGCTGTTCCTAGCACACTGATAAAGCAAGCATGCACCCAGCTCCCATAAAGACCACACTGGGTCTTGTGCTGCCCCTTCCTCTCAGAGCCAGGGCCCTTTGCGGCCCAGGGACAAGCAAAGGGACATCCCCTGTCCCACAGCTGCATGGGCAGTTCTGGCAAGAGCCAAAACGCCACTCGGGGCCCAGCCGAGGCTCAGCAGCATGCCCCTCGCTCTCACCTGGTCCTTCTCCCAGAGCTGGCTCAGGATGTTGCTGTCAATGGCGTATTTCACAAAGCGGATGTCAAGGCTCTCAATGCGGAAGTTGAGGTCCCCAAACCAGAACACGAGGCTGTAGGTGAGAGGGAGGGCGACAGGCTGGAAAGGCCAAGGCTACTGGAGCCGGGCAGCACAGCGGGGGGGAAAACATCCTCAGCCTGTGGGCAGCCTCAGCCTGCAGCACAGGCACTCTTGGAAGCACCAGTGGAAGTCAGCACTCAGCCAACAGCTCGGCCAGCTGCCGGCCCTGCCAGGATTCCTCAAGTAGGACCGAGCACCATTAACCAAACAGGCCTGACTTCCCTGGGCAGAAATTGAGCGTGGAGATTTCCACCGTGATGGACCTACTAGAGCTAGTCCACGCAGCCAAGACACTGGGGCAGAACCGAGCCCTCCACCTCACCAGTCCCAAACCCCAACAGCACCAATATGGCAGGAGCTGCACCAGGCCTGGATGCACCCCAGGGGAAACCGAGGGCCCCTCTTAACACCTACCCCACCATGCTGGGTCCCCACTGGGCCACAGGACAATTTTGCAGCTCTGCAGGCAAGACCCCATCTCCAAGCTATGCTGGGATTCAGGGGACAGACCCCAGACCCTATCCAGATGGGGTCAAGGGCAGGGGCTGGCACTGGAGCCCTGGCCCAGACTGGGGAGCAAAGTGGTGGGGTACGCACTCATGGTCCAGGATGCCGCTGGCTGCACGCCCCTCAAACTGCTGCATGTGCAGTATGGTGGCAAAGTCCTCCTTGCGCTGCTCCGCCTTCTCCATGTGCGCTGGCAGGTGGCAGTTCAGGAAGCAGACCATGTGGCCGAAGATGGAGAGACGAACGCTCACCCCACCCTTGTTGCCCTGCACCGAGAGGATCCCATGACTCCCTGGGAAACCAGCCCCTTGCCACCTCCTCCAGGACCACACTCACCCAGTAGCCTCCCAGACCCGTCCTTGTGCAGTCTGTCTGGACATCCTGCAGGAAGGGGAGGTGGTAGTACTTGGCAAATACCAGCAGGATCACACCTTGCATCCGTACTGTGCTGACCTGGAATGGGAGCAGGGGCTGAAGCGGGTTGGGAGCCACAGCAGAGCCTGCAGAGGCAGGGACACCTCCATCCTTTGCATGCCCCCCCATCTTGAAGATGACACATTTAGTTCAGAGATCTAGGTGTCCCTCCTGGAATACTGACAGCTGAGAAGCCCGGCAATGCTAAAATTCATGTACACTCCGGAGTAAGCACCCCAGGGAGCTGCACCTGCCCTGGGACCACTTCTGCGGTCAGAAGCACAGGCTTGTTCCCACATTCACCTCCTTGCCCTGGTGCAATGTAGCAGGCAAAAAGAAGGGTCCCCAAAGCACCACAGGGGAAGCTCAAGGCGCAGGAAAGGCAACAGGGTGGCACAAGCTAGAGACAGCACACTGGTGAGAGGCACCACTAGCCCTCGGGTTAGACCCCACACACTGGCTGGATGGCTGCAGGCTGTCCCTCCAGCCAGCTT